GCGCCGAGGTGGGCAGCGCGCGGGGTCTCGCGCGGGACGGACCAGGTACGCGCCCGGCTGACGTGGGGGCCGGAACGCTGGGCACGCGACAAACTACGCAGAAGCGAAGAAACAACTCTCCAAGGATGGGGCCATCAGCCCTGCGGCCCTGGCGAGTCCCTTGGAAGGCTCTCCAGAGATGCCATACGCTGCAGGAATTGGACCCAAAGTCCTCCTGGGTTCACCGCCGCCTGGGGTCCTTACTTCTGGAAAACGTAAGCAAGCTAAAAGTGTCGAAACGGGCACTCACCGTCCATGGTCTCCCTCACCGCATTCAGATTCGCCGCCGCAGCGGCCGCCCCGGCCCCCGCGCCGCTATTGCTCGCCATGGCGGTGGCCAAGGTAGGCGGGAGAAGGTCCTGACCCGGAACTGAAGCGCCTTCCTTTCTCTTGGGCAATCAGACCGCGCGTCCCTAGCACACGCCGGGCGGGCTCCGCCCCTCGCGCTCGTCGCCAGCGTAAGGCTGCGTTGATTTGAATTTGGAGCTTCGTTACTCAGCGCGGAATGTGAAGCGTGGAGTTGCCATTCGAATTTACCACGCCGCCCTGATGCGATTGGCTGGTTCGCGGACAGCGGTTCGACGCGATTGGCCAATCGCTCACAAGTCCCGTGCCCTGGTTGGCCTAAGACAGCGCGGAAGCGGGGAGTTAAAGAGTCAGTGCCTGTCGTGGGAGCTGGCCTGGTCCCTCCGGAGCGCCCTGGAGTCGCCTTTGGGTGGCTTCCTTTTTTTACACAACACTAGGTACGTTCTTTGTAGTTCGTGGACTTTTCTCCTGTCTCAAATTGGAGAGCTCACTTTTTCTGGCCCCAGATCCGCCTGCCCGCTTGCACTAGGGCGAATGGAAACAGCGAAGGAGTAGGTACTGAAGGGAGGGACGCCAAGAAAGAGTGATCGTGTAGAGTGGGGGTGACACCAGCGTGAGTGTCCTCTGCTCTTCACCCAAGGAAGCCAGCTGCAATTTCAACCTTCAAACAAGTGGATTCTTCTTTTTTTTCTAAATACAGACCCCTTTGACGGGAAGTAATGCAAACTCGCCTTCTACCCTGGGGGTCTTAGCGAAAGGAGGATGTTTGAGGAAAAGGCAACCAAAGGCGGTTCATTTCCTATCTCTAGTTATTTGTCTGGAGCTAATTTGCAAGAAAGGCACGCGTACAGATCCTTCCTCATCTCTTGCCTGCTGTAAATAATTTTTTAGTAACTGCAGCTTGGTAGGAATTGCTGGGATATCCGAAGGATATTCAAAGTGTGTATAGACTTGATATAATGAATTAAAAACTACAAGTGTAAATCCTTAAAATGAAAGGGATTTCGTGCCTATTGTAACATTTAGTTACCTCAAAAGCGTACCTGAACTCATTCACATTTGGTTGACTGCTGCTTATCAGCCACTTTACTTCTCTGAGCTTAATTCTGCAAAATATCGCTAATACTGTACCTCTATAGCTTTCCTGATTATTTCGAGGATCACTTGGGAAAATGGATGTGATGCTTTTTTATAAATTACCAAGAAGCTCCAAGACCATTAGGTTTCGAGTTAATTTTTGTGAACTATCTGTTGAATACATTTTAATGGTCAAAGTGAATGTCTATGGAACTTTGCAGTTTTATTATATATAATTCTGATTTCTTTTTAGTTTTTTCTCTGTGCTATGGGAGATGTCAAAGAACCAAAAATGCAAATAACACCGGAAACTCCAGGAAGGATCCCTGTTTTAAATCCTTTTGAAAGCCCTGGTGATTATTCTAATCTCCATGAACAAACTCTCTCCAGTCCTTCTGTTTTTAAATCAACAAAATTACCAGTAAGTGATTAGTATTTACAAATAATTTTAAATATAAATTTCTTTACAAAGTAAGGGGGAAACATCGTGGAGCATACATACCTGGAATGTGCTTTAATTGTAATATTCATTCTAACCTAATGGGCTATAAGTAAGTTAGCTGAACGATTTGTTTATTTAGCATTTCTCCTTTTTTATTTAAAGGATAACAGGTTAGCTTCTTGTAGTTGTGAGTATAGCTAGATACTATGGTGTCTGGTATAATACTAATACCATATTAGAGAAGAAGTTATATCATTTAATTCTCCACATTTATTCAGCAAACATTATTTGAATGCTGCTACGTGTCAGATACAATGCTAGGCATAGATGTTACACTGAACAAGTCAGGGTCCGTAGACACAAATTCTCAGGGAGCCTATACTCTAATATAAGGGTCAGCAAACTTGTTCTGTCAGGAGCCAGATAGTAAATTTTTTAGGTCTGGTTGGTCATCTGGTTGCTGTTACTACTACTCATCTCTGCCTTGTATCACAAAAGCAGCCATAGGCAATACATAAACAAATAAACATGGATGTGTTCCAATAAAGCTTTATTTATGGGCAGTGAAACTTGAATTTCATGAAATACTAATATTCTTTAGGGTTTTTGTCAACCATTCATAGCTTGCAAATTGTTCAAAAAGAAAGTAACCTCTACTGGGATAGACACAACTAAATTAGCAACTTCAGAAGAGTGTGATGTGTTGTGACTGGTGGTTAAGCTCAATGGTGATACAGAAGGGAATGTGCCCTTTATGAGATTAGGGAAGGCTTCATCACTTTGCTTATTTTCACTGTTATTGGTCACAGTGGAGCGTTTCTTTTGAAGTCCGATCTTTTAATCTGGTAAATTATCTAGAAAACTGCAAACTGAGTGGCTTTTATGCTACATGTTCATATCAGCTTGAAGCAGGTCTGCACTAGAGGAGTTTTACAGTTATACAGTTTATATTGAATCATTAATCTGACCTCATTTTTAATTGAATTGTATTAAATCTTTGTTATCTGTTAATAAAAAATAATGAAATGACCGCAACATAATCCTCAAAGCCAGAATGTATGGCATCTTGAGTTTTTCATCCTGAATTTTTCAAAAATAAGTTCTGAACTCCAGCTTAGGATTTGGATAAGAGTTTGGTTTGGTTGGATAGTTGAATACAGAAAGGCAGCACTAATTACCATTCATAATCATTTTAAGGATCGACTATTTTAGGAGCTTTTGCAGGCACTTCTGCCATTAGGACTTTAATTTTAGTTCATTCTTATTGAAAGTAAAGACCTTTGGTAACTAAGAGATTTTTACTTTTTCCTTGGCATGTTGCATCACTGATGAGTGTTAATTGTGGAATTTCTATATCATTAATTCTCTACTGTGATTATTATGTAATTTTAAAAAACCACCCAACCCCACGTACATTATACTTAATGTCAGTAAGAAAATAGAAAGAGCAAAACCAAAATAAAAGTATATCTTGATTGTCCACCAAAAAAAAAAAATCACCCAGAGGGAAGATTTGTATATTTTAAAAGTGATAAAGTTAAGCCAATTGATTTAGTGTGTTTTGATTACCATTTGCCATTTAATTTAGTGGTAAAGTCAAATTTAAGAATACAAGCTGTAAGATATTTTTATATTATAACCATTTACATTATTTTTGAAGTTGACATTGGTTAGCATTTTGATGAACTATTTTAGTTTGCTTTTACTCATAAGCTCGCTTTCTTTTGTTAAGACTCCAGGGAAATTTAGATGGTCTATTGATCAACTAGCTGTAATAAATCCTGTAGAAATAGACCCAGAAGACATTCATCGCCAAGCTTTATACTTAAGTCATTCTCGGTAAGTTTTCTTTTCTTGCACTGAAGTGTAATAACATACTCTCACGTGAAGAGAAATGAAATTCCAAAGTTAAATATTTATATGGAACAATGTCAGAGAGGAAAAATTATGATACATATTTATTTTACCTAAATGAAGAGTGAGTTCAGAGAACTACATCCAGAAAGATTTACTTGCTAACAGTTGCAAATCGGGTTAGGAGTCTTTTTCTTTTAGAGATAACCTTCTCCCTCTTCTGCATATGGGGCAACTGTGCCTCCTCAGCACTTGGAAAAGGGAAGAGTATTTTGAAATGTGTACCTTTCTACATGATTGTGGCTTCTCCCATTGAATTTTTATGGTGGAGTCAGGTAAAGCAAAATGTCATTTCATTGCCATATACGGTTAAAGAAGCCTAAAAATTCCCTTACCAAGTTAAGACACATTGAATGGAAGTATATCCTTTAGCAACAGAGAGCTTTTATAGATATCCAACTTTAATATAGGACATTTGGGGATCTGAATTACATTGTCTTCAATTCAACCTAGTAATCAGAGCAGTCTTAACGTTTTGTTAATGTGTTGTATAGGTTTCCCAGCACTAGTGTGCTTCAGACATTTCTGTTCAGTGATGCCTCATATAGTGAGAACACTTGCACTTCTTTGGTGAAACAGACCTTGTTTTTGATAACAAATTGCAATGATCTGTAAGTCCAAATTACAGATAACAGTTTTCATTAATAGTTTGAGGGACTGTTTTGTTAATTTTATAGTCTGATTTTCTTTATATTTGAAAAAATTGAATACCGATATGACCAGCTTTTAATTTTTGGTCCTAAGATACATGTGTTGTCAGTCCAAAATCTTGGGTAATCCTTTTTCCTTTAACTTTAGAATTTAGTCACACAAAGATGTACTCATGTTGAGATGCTCTTGCAAATAGTTGTCTGGCTTTTCTACGCCTTCTTCTCTTGGCTTGGTAACTTGATGAACATTCATTTATAATTAATTATTGTCTGTCAAAAGTGTTGTAGAATGGGGAATGAGCATAAAAGGATTTTAACCTCACTCTAAATAATACCTTTGAAAGAGAAGGTGAATATCTAAAAACACATGAGTCACAAATGGGATTCATTTTTTATTTCACATGAACTATGTGCTTTATTTTGCCTCTTTATTATTATATTCAACCATGTACAATTGTTATCTATTAAGTCAAGAGATATTTTTGAACACTGAGGCACTGTGAGGAACACTAAAGAAGTATAGGATATTATTCTTGCCTTCTAGAGTCAACAGTGCCATTAACCAAAGTTATGACTCATCGTTTCTATACTTATTAATAAATGATGTATTGTCTGGGTAGGTGTATGAATGTTGGTTTATATCAGTAGATAGATTTAAGGTATGGGAGAGGGAAAG